TAGATAGATAGATAGATAGATAGATAGATAGATGATAGATAGATAGACAGACAGACAGGTAGATGATGACAGGTCTACACCACAAATACAAATTTATTATATCCCCGCTCCCAGCAGTACTGGCTCCGATTCATATTCACATGCAGACTATAAGGAAGAGCAAGGCCACTTCACATGAAAGTGGTTTTACAGTTTTCAAATTCAAAGAGTCACTGTTAATTTCTTATCCCCATAAAGTTAACACTTCCTTTTAAATCACGCAGAGTTGCCGCTGAGTCTTGTTGTGGAGAGTCATGTACAATGAGCCCTTCCCTCTCCAGCCTGTGGTCGCAGATTTAATGATCGGTTTTGCGGACTTTCCTATTTTTCAAGTAGATTTAACCATGAAAACACAAACAATACTTTCTCCATTCCTATATGGAAACAAATATCATCTTGTGGTTTGATTGATCTTTTTCAGGTTTTTTTTTTTTTTTAAATCAAGGTATCTAGCCTACTAAGAAAAGCAACATTCTCTGTCTACTCAGGGCCATACTTATCTGTAAAGCAGGCTCATGTGTGCATGCTCACCTCGGTGTACATAGAGGGCACAGCTTGTTTCATCATAAATATTATTCTTGGCTTTTGTTTTTTTTAAGCAATCAGGTCGCTTTATGATCACCCAAATCACACTTCTAAGGGTGAGGAAACAGTCTGCTTAGCACAGTCTGTGCCTCTGCATCTGTGCGCAGGAGCCCCCCACCCCCACCCAGACCTTCCAACAGCTCAGCAGCCTTGGAGTGAACCCGCGAAGCCGTTAAGTAGATGCCGTTTACTGGTAGCCATCTCTCAGTGCATTCATTATGGCACGTGACACAGTGCATTCCCGGCAAACAATGAAAGTGGGAGAGAAATACACAACTTTCCTCACCAAGGAAACACGGCAGGCACACACCTCCCTCACACAGTTCCTGTTACCGTGGGTTACCACCTTCCTGGGGAAGAATGCAGACACCCAGGAAGGCATCCCTCAGTGAGCTCACTGACTACAATTGTGTTTGTTGTTTCTATGTATGTACACTGGCTGTAGGAGGTTAGTGCAAACAGACTCTGCCTTCAAGTCATTGCTAACCACAGCCCAGACCGTGAACTAGCAAGCCATTTCCTTGACTTCTTTCTTCTTGAGACAAAGTGTTTCTTCCACAATTTTAGTTGTTTTACTCGAAACATCTTCTCCCTGAGGCTTTTAAATTATTCATCTAGTCTATAATTCCTGAGATTATTGAGTTCTAGGACTTCCTTGATTTGTTTTATTTTCTATTTTGGGATTCAGGGCCTTGCTAGGCAAAAGCTCAGCCCAAGGACTTTCACCACGAAACAAATTACTTCTAGAAAGAGAACTTGAAAACACTAAATTAAATTTCTGTGATTAGTCCTGACCTGTCCTTCTGAGTCTGCAGACTTTGTGTCTGCGTCAATTACCAAGGAAACAGAATCATTTGATTGACGGGAATATAGAGTGACCCAAAGCCTGGGATCAAGTCAACCCAAGGTAAACTTGAGAAGGCTCCAAGCCTACAAAGAAACTACAGCATGCTGATTCACACAGGGGCTGAACCCTATCACACCGTAACAACCACCACTAAACAGTCTGTTTTAATGGACCACGACATAGCAATGACCTAGGAGGAAAACCCCCACACCCTCACCCAACTCTCTATTTCTGTTTTAGTTTTGTTTTCAAGAGAGCTAGGGATCAAACCCAAGGCCTTGGCCATCCTAGGCAAGGGCTCCACAACTGACCTATATCCCCAGCTAGATGTCTCTGTTTCCATCTGGTCCTTATGAAGGCCATAAAGTATCAGTAGAGAAATCTTAAAGCGAAGAGACCTTTCTCTCAGTTTTTTAAGAGCCTGGCAAGTAAATGCTGTCAGTGAGCATCGCATCTATATTCAGTGATTAAAACTGATGTGAATCTTTCAAACTCTTCATGGCTTATCCAAGTTTTCCTTCAGGAAGTACACCATTTCCCTGACCAGTGTGTCAAAAGGTCCATCCCAGAGCAGTGGTGGGTACCACAGAGATGCTGACACTGAGACTTTACAGAACCTCTGTTTAGCCAAAACGCTGGTATCGAAATTGAAACATCAGCAAACATCGTCTTCATTGTCCCAGAGAGTGACTATTTTAAGCTTTGGGGCCATTGAGTCTTGATTGCAAGTAATTAAACCTATCATTTCATAACAGGGCAGACATATACAACTAAGAACAAAAATGGACACAGCTGTGTTACAAAGAAATGTTATTTACAAAAAATATAATAGGTAAGTTGTCACATTTGATCCATGAGTCATAGCTCACCTACCCCTCACAAGACTCTATGTAGTCTTACGGTTTATTTTTCATTTTATTTAGCTCTATTTTATGTAGCAGTGCAATGGACTGAACCAGTGTTCAGTGTGAGGCCTTTAAAAGACCAATCATAGCAATTCTTAGAAACATTTGATTAGTAGTGTTTATGCTTTTTAACTGAGACACTGTATACATATTTATATATATGTATATTCTTATTATAATTTATATACCACACAAGTTCACTCATAGAACAAAAAGAAAAGAGAGAGAAGACATCTCAAAATTGACAATATAGAGACTCTAACCTCAGCAAATGCCCATAGAGCATTTTTTGGCTTATGAAATCTCTTCTTGATTATTGTGGTTTTCCAGCAGTGGGCGGGAGCTATGATTCTGTCAGGTTAAAGCTGAGCTCACACACTGTCTGTGAGACTGGGGTTCAGAGGTCAGAACGCAGAGCTGTCGGATTGCAGGGTGACTAGCGACATCAGCACTGGAGATCTCTGATACACAGCCCGCCTGGCAAGGCAGGATTGCAGACGTCTGACCTCTGCTTCGCAGGTACAGTGTTTTCTCCTTAAGACCTGAAGATTCCGTGGGCAGGAATGAGCTGGCAATTCCTAGTGTAAGAAAATGATCTTGTACTCTAGCCTGCTAATGTCCATTTTGTGCCAGAATTTTCCCAGTGGCACTGAGCCAGGAGGAACGAAGCTACTATAAATGTCTAGGCAAATACCTAAAAAATAAATCCCCAGGAAATAAAATTCATAATTATAGAACTAGTGAACTAACGTTGAAGTTAGTCAGTCACAATACTCTCAGCATTGCCCTGTGAGGTCCTGCAGCAGTGGCGAGAGATGCAGATCTGCATTTCTTTTCCTCCTTCAAAGAGAGGCACCAGCAAAGGTGCTGAACACAGAAAGGCTGGGTGACAAGAGAAGCCTCCAATTTGTCCTATGCTACCGAGGCATCCTGTGGTGACCAAGAACATTCTACTGACCTTTTATTTGCCCCCCCCAAAAAATAGAAGAAATATGTCCAAAGAAAGTATAATTAGAAATGTCTTTTCTTTATTGAATTTTATGGAACTTCCTAGCATAAGTGTACAAAACAATAGGTTTTCCTCTGGCATTTTCTTACATACATGGAGTGTGTTCCCTACTCCTGGCGCCAGGCTCTGCACAGAGCTCAGGGAATTCAGAGCATGTTCTGGAAGACCTGCTGCTAGGACCATTCCTTTCCGCTGTGTGAAGGGCCCGGCTGGTCTCCCACGGGCCACATCGTTTCCTGCTTACTCCTCATTGCTCTCCAGCACCTCAGGCAGGCCCTTAAGAAGTCCCTAACAGACGCTTTTCCCACATTTCCCACACGGTCTAAATTTAGCTCTCTGTGTAACATGCCTCATGGATGCTCTCGGGTTGCCTTTTCTCTGAAAGCATCATGCAAATGAGGGAATATTCTAAGCAACTGCTGGACTACGCTGCCAGCTCGTTTTACGCAGATGGCCGTGTTTTCAAACGTGCATCTGCACGAACAGGATCAGCACTGTTTTTGAAAAGAGAGAGAACCAACCCGGAGACGCTGAGACCATTCCCCAGAGGGTACAAGGAATGGCTTAGACTCCCCCACCACACACGCCCGACTTGGAAACAAAGCCTTGGAAATGTTCACAGACACCTTCTATCTAAGCAAATTATGGTCCAGTGTTGAAAGAATCCACAAAATGGGAGAATCTATGGGAAGGAGGAAGATAAATACAAGCAAACCGCATTTCATCTGCTGACGGCAAGCGGCACGGCACGGAACAAACCCGGCCCCTTCCATTAAGTTACATAAATCTCGACAAGTAAGTTCAGCCATATGGGTTGCATCTTCTCCATCATAAATATGAGAACGGCAATGTATGATATTATGTTTGCACATGAGCGAAAGAATTTGGTTTCCTAAACTGGCATGTGTGATCCAAACAGGAACCTTTACACAGTTGAGGACCTTGCTGTACTGAGGATCCCTGGCATGTTTATCAACACCACATCTACAGCCAGAGTAGACGGCAACCAACACTCAGTAGCTGTGCTGCGAATGCCTGTGTGGAACTGCGGGCTATGAGAGGATATGCTAAGGGGAGATATCGATTGTGTCCAGGATCCCATGCATTCTATTGTATGGGGAAGAACCTAGAAATGCTCTTTCCCACTCACGATGTTGAAAATGAAATATAAACGAGCCATGTGAAATTGCCTTTTTAAAATTAAGTCTGACACACTCAAATATCGGCAGTTTGACATAGTTCCACCTGGCCAGAGACTGAACCCGAGCCCATGGCTAACGTTTGTTAAACCTTGTTCCGTACAATGTACTCCATTGCAGCTTCTCCTCCTGTTTACTAAGTTCTTGGTTAACTAAGGCACTGTTTAAATGATTACAAACTTGTACATTTAAAAACATAGTATCTCAGAGGAGGTAATACGTAAGCACCACTTAAATAAATGGGAGAGAAGCGCGGACTGCACCCTGTTTTCTCCAGGACCAAAGACCAACCCCAGGGCTTTCTTTACAGTCTTCCTTTGCAGTCTCTTAAGGGAGCCATGGTTTTTACCTTAACGTCCCTTCTCTTTTTCTGTTTAAATAATGGAGCTCCAATATTCTTAAAAGAAACAGAACCAAAAGAAGATGAGGAGACTTATTTTAAGGATTGGCTGATATTGTCATGTAAGTTAGGAAATACAAGATTCACAAGCAAGGCCCACATGGTAGTTCAAGTCCAAACACTCTCTGCTGGCAGCATTCTCTCTGTCTTAGAAAAGCTCTTTCCGTCTTCCGTCCAGCCAAGGCCTCCGACTGATTGACAGAGGCCCACGCATATCGTGGATATCAATCTACTTTATCTAAGTATTAACCTAATGTTAATCTCACACAGTGCTACAGAAACACCCAGAATATATATATAAACAAGTACACCGGTACTGGATATTCTTGCAGAAGACCTGGGTTCAATTCCCAGCACCCACAAGGTTACTCATGGCTGTCTTTTACTGTATTCCCAGGGCATCCAGTGACCTTTGCTGGCCTCTGCAGGCACCAGGCACATATGTGATGCACAGCCATCCATGCAGGCAAAACACCCAACACACATAATAAATAAGTAAAGTTTAAAGAAATAAAAACACCACAGGCCCTATTCTTGTTAAATTCACACTTTCTATCCACTTTGTCATAATAAAGATTTTCCCAATAGGTCCTTTATGCCCTTGAGACTGCTGGCAGGGAATGCAAGAGTCACGGGTAGGCTTTCTTTCCTGTGGTATTTTTGAGAGAGGCTCCATTCCATCTCCCAGAAGCATGATGTGACATCTTACCTTGAAAACTCAAATTCAGTTTCTAATTTTATCAGATAGCTTGAGCTGAGTCTTTCTTACGTAACCCACCTTGAGAGCCACTGCTGCAGCCCTGAAAACAAAACCACATGGTTTCCTCTTGTCGAGAAAACTAATAAAGATTTTCCTGGGTTGAACTTCTTATGAAAGACAGAGAAAACGGGCCAAGGCACACTGAATTACTTTTTAATCTGTCAATCCTCTTTCCCACAAGCCTCTAAACTCATTCACTTAGATTTTATTTTCTCACCTGCTCTTCACAGAGCCCACAAGAGACAGACAACACCGAGTAACTACGGAAACTCACTTTGAGCTTCACCTCTGCTCACCCACCAGCTCCCCGGCGCTTTAAGAGGACTCAGGTATAGGTTCTGAGCACACTGCAAAGCCCTCTGGGAACAGGGAGCAGGGCAGTGAGGAAGGCAAAATGAACCTTCTAGCAATATCCCACCTTGAGGACTTAAGTCAGTGGGTAATCTCATTGGGATGTTTTTCCTCCCACTGGGTTTTTAAAATTAAATTTGTCAAAAATAACCCGCCTAATCTTATATACAGTATTCTTATTAGGGTATTGTCATGCAAAATATATTACCATTATATGACGGCTACAAGGCCTAACGCTTAGGAAAATAGAGTAATTATCATCACTTATAGGTCCGGGGAGAAGTAGCGCAGCGTAATGGAGAAAGAAATCTAATAAATGTGATTGCAAAACCCACTGGACAGGCTCAGCAATATTTCAGTGCACACAGGCACTTTCTTCCCAGCATGCACTTCCCAGTGTCTGTCCAGTTCCCGTGGCCCTTGTCTTCCCTGCCTGGAGAAGGAGGGGCACACACAGAATGCGAGTCTTTCCCTGGGTAGTCATAGATGACTAACCTAGCAGATGCACAAGGAGCCAAGGGACCAGGGACCCAGTATTTTACTTATCCAGATAATCAAAAAATTAAATTTGCTATGCTAACAACATACACATCGGAATATTATCCTGACGTAGAGTCTTCTCTCTGACCTTTCACGTTACTCTCCCAACAGATAAGAAGGCTTCTGTCTCCGGATCCATTGTCCTGCTTCATCTGGATTCCCAACAGCTAAGCTCACAGGAGGGAGTAACTGAGTAAGTGACTATCTGTTTTTATTATTATTATTATTATTACCTTTTTTTAATTTTCAGGGTAAGCAGATTGGAATGAAACAGGGAAGGACAATGTAACTGTTTAATTCAATATGCTACTGTGATTCTTTTTTCTTTTACCAAAGTAGGAAAATAAATTAATTACATGTCATTAATTATTTCCTAAAGATTTAACTATATCTATTTCCCAGGGATGTGGCAATAACAGCCATCCCAGAGATTAGGACAAAGAAAAGAATAAATATAGAAATCAAAATTTTCACAAGAAGGGGCCAGAGAGATGGCCCAGCAGTACAAAGTACTTGCTGCTCTTGCAACACGTTGGTTCCTAGCACCAACGTGGGGGCTCACAACTGTCTATAACTCCAGGTGTATGTGACTGGGTGCCACTTTCTGCCCTCTGTGTGCACTAGGCATACAGGTGGTACGCACAACATACATAAAGGCACACGTATGTACAATAAGAATAAATATGTCTTTTAAAAGTGAAGATTTTCACAATGAGACTAGAGGTATATGGTATGCCAACCCTGACCTTTCTCTTCGCATGTGATTCCCTGGAATGAACTCCTTAGTCCACAACACATTTTTCCATTGTGACTCTCAAAGCCCTTCCTTTCCTGGACTTGGTCCTGAACTGATTGGCTAGGCCAAAACTTCAACCAAAGCCTCTCACCAGACTCGAAACCAGGAGTTTCTCTCTAAAGCTCATTGCTAATAACTTTAGAACCACCTAGGACCAATATCCCATGGTTTAGTCTACCATGTGTTTCAGGAAGCAAAGGAAGATGGTCCCAAAGAAAATTAAGCTACTGAACATAAATCAGAGAAATGAAAACCCCGTGTCCATGACTCCCTGATTCTAGGACCCATTCCTGCATTCCTACAAACAAACCATGATTGGGAATTGAACATCTTTGAATTCATGTCTGCTCCCTTCAGCCCATCCCCCGCATTAATATTCTGAGGGCTTGTTTTGGTTTATTTTGAGGGCTAAGGAACCATACTTCACCCTTTCTGGATGGATACATTCAGAATAGAAATGATCTCTTTCCAGCGGAGCCTTCTGAGCTGATCCTGGCATCTGGCAAGTCAGTTACATTAGATCCAACCATCACTGCCACCTCCTCGTAGTGAGTGAGTGAAGACCATGTGAGTGTAGCTCTGAGTGAATGTGGAGGATTTGACGTGAGGCAGCCATGCCATGAATCAGGACCCGTGGGAAACGGGCAAAGCCTTTCCCTAAGGTAGGTCTTGGGAAAGCATCACCTTCCTTAGGTCCAAGTACAAGTGCCTACGAAAGACTGACCCGGGTATGCAAAAATAGCAACTCCAGCGACCGCCTCTCGAGTGTGCTGCACATAATACACCCTCTGAGGCCCTCAGTGACTGAGGTGGTTGGTGCACCACCACCAGAGTGTGCACAGCCCGCCTGTCCTTGCGTCCGTCCTGTCCTTGCGTCTGTCTTTTCTTCATTCTGGCACTTCCCTGAGTCAGAGTTCCAGGGCCAAGTTGTGCTATCCTCTGACTACTGAAAGCAGAAATGCAGTAATCCTGAAAGTTGGAAGAAAAAGATTGTAGAGACGACTCTCTTTCCTAGAGCCTGGCAGATGCACAGCTGGCCTCTGAGACTTGTAGTTTTTAATAGGCCATAAAAGGAGATCATCCCCATTGATGGAATCACAGATACTCTTGAGGGAGGAGCCGCACACCATGAATATGTAAGAAGAAAGCTGGCATAAGAAATGCTTCTCTCTCATGCTTGCTGGCTTTTTAATTTTATTTTTATTCCCATTTTCCTTTTTAATCTTTCATGCATAACAAAAATCCTCACTGCTTCATTATCTATTTCTACATCTTTAACACAAGTTCATTTCCATTCTGCCTGCCAATCCCATGTCTCTTCATTGATCTCCTGATGCATCCACACATATGTCTATAATAATATATTCTAAACACATCATTTGGTGTGCATTTTTACCTCGCTCCTGTGATCACCAGGCTACATACTGAAAGAAGTCAGGAACTGCTGCTACGGTGCCAGAGTCTAATCACGTAGCCAAGTCCAAGCCACAAATCTCTTAACATACATCACCTGCTTCTGTTTCCTTGGCTAGCTGTGACTGATGTGGAAATCAATAGACTATATATAAAGGAAGCCAGATAGTACAGGCCAACTTTGATTGTGCTCAGAATTCATTTCCTACCCTTTCTGTTCAATGGTTTCACCAATGCCCATACCAGCTAATGGTAACTTTGGGACTTTTCCTCACATTTGATCAACACTTCAGGTTTTTGTAAGTACTTCAAGAAAAATCATGATTTGCTAAATCAAATCAAAGAATACTTTTAATTCAAACCTCCATTTTATTATCTTCCTCCTTTGGAATGTTTGGGGACTTCTAATTTATGTGTTTCCTTTTATGCTACATTGCAATCCTCTGTGACATGGAATTAATTAACCTAGCCAATAAGTTTAGTCATTATTGCAAATAAAACCTGTACTAGTAACTTTATGAAGGCAGTACGCAATTCCTAACACCTTGGGAAAGTTGGTTTCATCCTATTTGCCATAGTTGCCTCCAGACAGTCGCCAGGGAGTGACTTGGTGGTGAAGAGTGTGCTTTGTGTGTACGGGTGCTAAGTTCAAACTTCAGTACCCAAAACAAGACATTTCATCCAGCACAAGGCTAAGGTCATTGCTCTAGAGTGTTCGCTCGGTTTAGGAATTGTCTATGCTCTTCATTTCCCAAGCCATGTCTGCTCTTAGAATATTTGGCAGCCTCGTCTCTCAGCATTTGGTTTAGTTAGCCCACTTTCTCTGTTCTCTCATTCTTCCTGCCCACGAGTCCGTTCCACAGTGGAATTTCCCACCTTCAAAGTCTCTGTCCTAGACATGACTATAATTTTTATTTCAGACGCCAAGAACCCCTTCTCTTGTGTGTGTGTGTGTGTGTGTGTGTGTGTGTGTGTGTGTGTACACGCACGCGCGGTGTATGTGTATGTACGTGTTTGTATGAATGTGTGCAGAGGGTGGGCTAAGGTCAGAGGCCGATGTAGGTGGCTTCTTCAGCTACTCTCCACCTTATTTCTTCAGGCAGGGTTTCTCACTGAACCTAGAACTTAGTGGTTTAGCTAAGTTTAGTTACCTAGACAGGCAACCCAGAGAACCTGGTGCCTCGGCCTCTGCAGCTCTGGGACTGCAGGCGTGATCACCATGCTTGGCTTTCTATGTGGTGCTGAGGTCTGAACTCAGATCTCCATGCTTCGTTGGTTAAATGGGACTTTAAGTTGTTCACATTTTGACCTGTTTCATTTTCCCAACTTCTTAGGGGAAAACACTTGATCTGCTGCTCTAGCGGATGTTTACTTGCTCGCGTGCCACTTCTGTTATTACTGCTGGGGAGCACAGCTACCGTTAATGTCACTAACCAGCTCTTACATCTCCTATTCACACTGTAAACCACTCTGAAATGCTGGGCTTCGATCTCGGGTTCTGGACTGTTTGTTCTAAGGCTTTAGACATCTCCAGTTTTTCCTCATGAGATCACCTAAATTCTTCCCCAGACGGTCATCCTGACAACGCAGAAAGCCGTATATTCTAAAACAGATTTTTTCATCATGAGCAGGCTTTGAAGAGGATGGGCATTTATGAATCTTTTCTTTTTCACCAACCACACCTTCCAGTCGGGATCCCATGAGGGAGACATTTCGGCTATGCACATCTTCCCTTTGGAACAGCCATTTTACGTTTCCATTCATGTTCATTGTTGGAACAAAAATGCCACGAAGTTTCTCTTTTCTAGTCACACAAGCGTCCTTTGCTTCTCTCTTGCTACCCTCCTGTCCTCGGCTCACGCTCTATCTAGCATGGTGCATTTCCCCTCATAACTTTATCATCCACCCATCCCCATCTCTGTGTGAAGTAAAGGCTTACTTCCTCTCATTCCTCTCTCTTCCCTGGTCCCCTTTCGCTGGCTCCATCTCCAACAGTTCCACACAGTTTGCATCCACTCTCATCCAGTCTATCTACTTGGCGTAGCTTTGAAAAGGTGAATCAAGAGGGCAGCATATCTGGGCTGAACACAGAGGTAGACAGGGTGCCTCGTGTAGTTACAATGCTACACAGAAGGCAGAGGGAGGGGCTAAGAATGTTTCTGTCTCTAGTTCCGTTTACAGTTTTAAATAAATGTATTTTGATTAAAGAAAATAAGGGTGTCTTGTGAATTAAAAGGCTGAGAACTGAGGTGATGAACACAGTCTCAAAACCAGCTACCTTGTAACACATGCCTTTTGCTACAGCCTGGCCTGGGGGTGCACATCTTAGTGTTAACCACCTTCAAAGCATCACCCACATGGTGTTTACAAAGAGAGGTCTTCCTGAGCTGCCCTTCTGCTGCTCAGGACTCCTCAGGGACTGCCTCCTCTGCAGGGAACTAGCGCTCAGGTCACTCACTGACACCCACTCACCCTGTCTAACCATTTCATTACCCTGTCCCTCTGCATGTGCACGTATGCACACATAGGTACCTGTGTGCACAGCTGTACAGGCATGTTTCCATAGAGGTGGGCAGTGAGTAAGCTAAGACAGAAGATTTCAAGAAAAATGAAAGTCCGAATCCTAGCAGAAGAGGTAGAAAGTGTGGAAGATTTGGAAACCGATGCAGGTGGGTGCTGAAAACAGGTAGAAGGTCAATTTGAAGACAATGAAAACATGGCATTCAGAATCAAAGAGGGAGGCACAAAAAGCAGGTGCCCCGAACACTACTGTGGCCACAATGGCTCCATGTTAACAGATTATATTGAGAGAAACATTAGTACACACACTTCTCCCATAAACCTTCCCTGAGCAATGCATTCAAGACAATATCACATTTGCCACAAAGTGTGGTTATCAAGGGGGTTTGTGAGTCAAGGTCCATATCTGCCCATTCCTGCCCCTTAAATCAGGTATTGGAAGGTATTGTTGTTCTATAGGACGATGAAGTCAGCTCCTAGATACTTTCTTGACTCTCAGAGTAAGATGTAGAGTAAAGGTAGACACAAGTCTCTAAAAATAGGTTCATCGAGAAGCAGAGACTGTGGAAAAGTGCTGTTCTTAAATAGTTTGGCAGAGTTTGTTCAGCAGGTCTTGCATTTGTATTGAGAACATCAAGTTCTTCCATTCAGACTGCGTCCCTGACTCGAAGGGCCTCTGGGAATTAACAGCAATTGCCTGTTGACAGAAAGGAGTATCTGAGAGAACATCTTAAATACCCACGCTTTCCCCAAGTGTTTCCCAGATGCTGGAGTTACAAATTTTTTAATATAATAAAATAATAGAGAAAGGTTGCTTCCAGTTTTCTAGAAAGAGAGTTGTTTTAAATCATTATACATAGAGAAAGTACATGTTTAAATATGTTTTGTAGCAGTTATCTGGTGGGGAGGAGGCCAGGATTTCTCTAACAGGGTCTATGAATAATTACCATAAAGGCAAGAAACACAGGGTGGATGTCTCATGGCTAGCGAGACTTTAAAGAGCCCTTTTCAGACATATGATACAAAATGGTATTTGGGATCAGAGGCTGGGTTTTATATCAGCTGGGGAGGCAGGGACCTCCCTGATGAACAAGGCAACTGATACATGTTTTTGAACTGTCATGTTGGTGAGGGTTCTTACTGCAACCACGAGAGGGAGGTGGGTCCATGACCAAATGCAGTCCATTAGGCCTTGCAGATGTGGACTAAAAACTGATCTAATCTGCCTTTGCGATTCTGGTGTATGTGATGCAGATGTGCTCCAGGGGTCCATGTGTAGGGATGGATTTTATTACAATGAGGGCTATCAAGCCCTAGAGTCATTCTCTAGGCAGTAAAGGGTTCCAGCAGAGCCATCTCTCCACCCCATCTTGAATGGCTTTTAAAGATTGGGTGGCCATAAAGCAGGGCTACCATGTTTGAGCCTCCTGTTTATACAAATAACTAACAAATGGTAAATCATATCCAACCTTCCTCATTCTGTATTCAATACGTTTGGAGGTTCTCCTTGAGAGAGTTTGAATTTCAGCAAATGATCAGCATCTCTTAGCTGCCTGTCCCTAACCTCCTCTAAAATGACAGATTCGGCATCTGTTAAAAGGATTCCCAGACAAGAGGTGCAGCTTTGAAACATGGTGCATCTTTCAAAGTATGAGGTGTCTGTCACCCCTTAACATTCTGGCTTATGAGACCAGTGGTCAGCCATTTAGGTGTCTGTCATGAAGCGGATGTGAAAGCCAACACTGGAAGACTGAGGTGCTGGGGCCTGGCCTACTTAGCCTGTTAGCCTATGTGTTCTGTGCTCTTGGGCTGCCCTGTATAGTCATAGATGACAGACCTCCTGAGCAGCGTTTCCAAAGTCTTGGGGAGTCAATTCAGCTCAGAACTGGATTCAGATTCTCTTCAGGCACAAAACTATTGCCAGTACATTACTGCTGTATGGTTGTTGATCGGAACTTCAAGGTGAGCCAAACCCAGGCAGAATGCAGGCATCATTTGGGAACAGAAGCTCGCTCACTGGTATCTTACATAATGGTCCGCAGTGACTGTTGGAGGTTGGCTGGCAGCTGTGTGCCAGAATGGCATTCGGAGCCCTGGAGTGACAAGAGCTTTGCCCTCTTAGCACGTGACTTCCCACACTGCTGTGATCAGCCAGGAGAAAGGATGCAGAGAGACGGCGAAGGCTGTTTCTATCTTCAGAACCCCAGACCAGCAGCAAATCTCAGGTCTATCCAATTTCACAAATAAGAACTTAGTCTCATGGACCACAGCCAACTATAATAAGAGAAGGAAGCTGATTTCTATCTTGGTAGTTATATATGCTCACTGCGACCCTACAACTATGCGCGCACGGGTTTAATGGTAGTTAGCGTAACAGTGACGATGTTGGTTCACCTCATTCATCTTTGGCAGTGGTGGTCAAAGTTAAACCCTGTAGAATCAGCTGGGAAATTTTTCATAACGACACATGCACAAATTATATGTAGCTCTACTGTGCGCCTCTATCGGGGGTTATACATATAGGAATTTTTATTATATGTAGCTCTACTGTGAGCCTCTATCAGGGGTTATACATATAGGGATTTTTATTTAGAGAGACTTGACTGTTTGCTGCGTGAAAATATAGGTATGGTACAAAAAAGGGCAAGACCCACTCAGGAATCTCTAAACAGCTAGACAGGGAACTTCCAGTCATCAGTCTTAGAACCTAGAAGACAACAGCTAAATGATTTGAACTTTGCAAGGAGCTGAGCTGAGATGCAGTAGTTAAGTTCAAGAAATCGCAGGCAGGAACAGCACTGGGGACACAGTGGAGGTGTTGCCACAGAAGGGTGAGTAAGGGGAGTGCCCCCCAGTAAAAACAGCATCCACCAGGTAGGGAAGATGAGGCTGGGATGACGCAGGGAACCAGTGATGGTACTGGGATTTCACCGGCACACATCTCAAGCCCCCTGGGTCGATTATCTAAGCTGTCTTCTCTATGTAACTAGCCAGTACCCCTCTTCCTCAGCAAACCACCTTCCTTCTCTAGGTTCCTGTTCACAAACATTATTTCCTCTATTGGACTATTAGCCCCTAAGAGAAAATAATTTTGTCGTATTAATATTTGTGTTCATGTGGCTTGACACATGACTGGTATACCATAAATGTGTGTGTGTGCATATATATATATGAATGTATATATATATATATATGTGTGTATGAATATATATATATATATGAATGTAGTATTTTAAAAAGCATGTCTAGTATGCTTGGGAACAAAGAACAGAACACAGCCTGGGGGTTGGGGAAGATTCTTTCACAGTGGTGGCTTATCTTAGGGTCCTACTAAAGGGCTTCCCCAGCAGAATAGGAGAAGCAGTGTGACAATGTCAGACACAGGTGGGTAAGAACGGTAAGAAGAAACGGTTCAGATAGTGTAGCATTCTTCTCCTCCACCCTGAGCCCCTAAAGTGAGACAGGGTTTGTTCTATGCAGTCAGCTCTTGCTGCAGATCACAGAAAATTCACCCATTCTCATTCTTCCCCCTTAAAGCTCATTTCCTAACTGAATATTCTCCAGCCAGGCCTACATCCTGTTTATAGAATGAATATATGGTAGTGACTAAGACCAGACAGGATCTTCTGCTCTTAAATGAGAACACACAGGCCTTTAGGCTATTCCTTTCTCCTATGCCCTGTCCTAACCCCAGCTGTGATGACACCAAATTTCTCCCATTTTGTTTTTCCTAGCGGCTCATATTCTAGTAAACGTGACTGATGGATAGAAGGTGCTGGAGTCCTGATCCAGTTTGGTCCATTCACTCACACGCCAGCAGAATCGAGCACCAACACTGTATCCTGGAAGCAGTTCTTTAAAGTCGATCTTTTTTGCAAGTGCTTCAAGGTCAAACCTTTCAAGAACTGAACACATCTCCAAGCATCTCCCCAGATACACCTGTTTTCCCAGGGCCCGCTGCTCTTTCCCAACGCACACTGTGTGGCATTGCCTCTACCAGTGTGGCAAGCGGTGTTCCACCAACCATTTTATTTCCTAAAAGCAGAAAGCAAAAAGATGCTTTTGTGGTTTGGAAGTCCTCCAACTGTGTTTACATCACCACTTCCTACAGTATATAAACAAACAAGCCATCGCTGCAAGGCTTACAAATAAATGGCCTACCTGCTATTTCATGGTGCTGTGCGCTTCCAACTGCTTTGCGCCCACCTATGTGTGTGTTTCATGGTCTGAAAAGTCACCTAATTGAAAAGTCATCAAACAGGAGATGTACATTCACCTATTCATTCCCGGAGATGTGGGCATACATCCATCTGAGATTGCTTGCTATCCTCCGGAGGATCCACTCATTTATCTAGCCATCACTTTATGGGCATTTGGGACCGACTTGCCCTGTTCCAGGTTAGTTTGGATGCACTGTCATGGCAGAAGTAGCAGTGCTGTTTCTGCTCCCGAGAAGCTAATGGTGCGCAGGGTTTCTCACAGTGCCTCAGAGTGCTGCCCAGCTACCGTCATTAGAAAGGATGAAAGGCCGAAATGAGCTCTCCCTCCACTGCATCTTGCTACCGTCTCCACCCTCCCTTCACAGAAACTGCTGGGCTGCTCTTCTCTTGCCCTTCTGCCTCGTGGGTGCTACCGAGAGGTCTTCCATCTGATCCTTTCTCTTCTCCTCTCTTCTCTGCCCTCAGGCATGGGAACATGACAGTGGGGACAAACTGCCCCCACAACATTCTGTACATCTGGCCCAACATCTATCATAACCATTGATCAGCAAAGAAACACAGGTCTTCCATGTAGCCACAGGATATTGGTTGCAATATCTGAACTCTGAGGATGGGCAAACCCCTTCTATAAAACAGCATAACGTTTACGTGCAACCCAGGCACATCTTCCCGTATACTTTAAACAACTTCTAGACTGCTTCTAAGAATAGCACATCATAGGTGCTGTGTAAATACTTACTATACCACACTGTTAAGAAAGTGCAGACAAGGAAGAACCCTATGCACATTCATTTACATATAACTTTACAAGTATTTTTTCCACTGCGATTGATTGAGTCCACAGATATGGAATCAAAACACAGATTGAGAGGATTTCTGAAATTAAGATGTTTCCTCCAAATGACATAAATTCATAATGAAAAGAGATTCGAGGGCTATCTTTTTGATTATGCCACAGTGACTTGAATAGAGTCACCCCGACTTAGTCGTATCAGTTTTCCAGGTATTTATAGCTATTACTAGCTATTTTTCATAAAAGCAATCTAATTTTAGTTTTCCTTTATTCCTGGAGTTGCGCCTATTACTTCATGCAACATCTTTTTTTTTTCTCTTTAATTGAGAGTTTAAAATAGCAAGAAAATGACATCAAGTTCAAAACAAGATGGCAGGTTTTCATGACCGTGTCATGGGTTTCCTCAGTGCTCACTGGACTTTATCTGCAGACCACGGCAACTTTACAAAGCTGACGGAGCACATGTGGTTCCGCAGATGGGGCTGGGTGATTCAACAGGTGCCCTGGCTTCCCTTTTCTGAATGAGGGTCAAGATATGAATCTACGCACGCTCCGGCTCTCTCAACCCTTTCCTGCTGAAATGGCAGCGTTATAGAAAAAGGACACAGAGCACAGACCTGGATTTCTTCTCAAAGCTGATTGATAAGAGCCTGGAGGAACAGAAAGATCAACATTTTTTTTTTCAGACTAATTGTCACACTTTCCTGAAACTGGTTTTGGGGGCTCAGACTTCAGGCTAGTCACTAGCTGAGAGATATAGTTACCATGATATTCTGGCCAGCCAGGATTAGGATCCTAAGTTTCTCTGTTCATAGCCAAGAGAAACTGACCACCTGAGTGTATGAATTATGTGACCTGGGAGCCACTTTTGGATGGAAGGGTGGGTAAACGTTTGGATGCAAGGGTGTTCTAGAGAAAAGGGCTGGAGTTAAGGAGGGGACAGACAAGCACAATGAAGGATGATGCTGAGACAGGTTTCCTTTTAGACTAGGAGGAGTCGTTAGGGATCCATGACAACAGCATTCAGGACCGAAATTAAAGGTTTTAAACACAGGAGAGCGTGCAAGCCTGAGTGTAAGCCGTGCTGGTTTGGGACTTAAGGACCCGCATTCCTAGCAGAAGCAGGCAGAGGGTGCGTCCCAGGTTATGACCATAGCAGAGCAGTGTTCTGCAGGGCTGTGGAACAGAGTGGCATGGTGCTGGGGCCCAGGCAGGAAAGTGAGGCATTTCTGAAAACGGCCAGCCACAGTGGCCATAAGCTCTCTCAGGTAGCTAGTTCATTCATTCCCACGTGGTGTCCTGAAGTCTGTGTGGAAAATTCTCACGAACTCCTAGAAAAGTATGGGAAGAGAAACTCGCCCAGAACTTGAAATGTCTTCCATCGTGGATGTAAGTGGTGATTTGTCACAATACTATCCATATTCATTATTGCTGTTTGTACTCAAAGCCTTGTGAGACCTGTGATATTTCAGTCAAATACCCCAGTAAGACAGGCAGTTCTATAGCTGACTCTTTGCACTGAGTACTAGGAGTGCAATGGAAACAAAAGGACTCGGCTAAATGACAAGAGTATCAGGACTTGAAGACCGCGTTGGGACCGCCTCCCATGCAAGCTACGTCAGGATGAATACAGGCCACTCTGTTCAGTGTTCGCAGACATTGTGTCCACCTCTCCTTTGTCTTTAAGTCAAACTAACCAATCTTATCACACACTGAAGGTATGGTTTTCAAAGTCTGCCTCTAGGTCAGTGAATAGCCAGCACACCCTCTTCCTCCTCTTATCTAGTTCATTCCCAGAACTCCATCCCTGAAGCATGAGCCAGGCCAGACTCCCAGACAGGATTTCCTGGACTCTCTGACCTTGGAACTAAAAATCAATCCATTCATTGCTTAATGACAATCAACTGGGGTGCATGCGTACATTTGTGTGTGTGTGTGTGAGCGCGCGAGTGTGTGTGTGCACGTGCGTGTGTGTGAAGGTCCTCAGATAGCTTCCTTACACGCATAAGGCAGGGTTCCTATCACTGTCCCCTGGCACAAAGCCTGCTGGCTGCTCTAGAAACACAGGAAACAAACTGCCAGGAGGAGAGAACGGTGTCCTTCCCTTTCCCACAGTCTCAGAACTAAGGATGCTTACATCACCGGGCCTTTAAGAGAGCAATCCCAAAGCTCACATGGATGCAAAGAAAACTGGTGGTCCTTTAGTTGCTGATAGGTGAAGACCTCTGAGAAGGTGGGACTCGGTTAAAATCATAAAAATGAATTCCAGAGAGCAACCACACCCCCTAGAAGCCCAGGCAGATCCTGTTTCACACCCCCAGAACAGAGATCGGTGCACAAAGAGGAGAACTAGGGCTTTTCCTCAGGGACGGTGAACAAAGATTCCTCATCTGGGTCCCATGAGCATTGTTGGAGAAAACATAGAAGCATTATTATTGTTGTTGCTGTTATTGTTATTATTATTATTATTATTGTGAACTTGTGACCTCATCGAACTTTAGATTATAGCAATTTATCCCTTTCAGACTACAAACAACAGTACCACACTACTTTAGAAAATACTGGTGGTTAGTTTGGATCTGAGATGCTGTTCTAGGCTCAGGTGTTGGGGGATGGATGACCAGCTGATATGATTTGGGAATGTCATCAAATCCAGGGGGCGCTGACTTCATCAGAAGGTCAGTCTTTAGATGAACTCATAATATGACGGCATTTTGGAGACACGGTGGAAAGTAGAAAGTGGGGCCTAGTTGGAGAAGATACATTACTGACATCATACCCTACCTAGAAAGACACGTCTTAGCCCTAACCCCTTTTGTCTGCTTCCCCACTGCTGTAAGGTGAACAGCTCTGCTCCACTCCTTCATCAATGACGTCATGCCTCACCACAGGTTTAGGAACCACTGAACTGCCTCCCTTCTGAAATGTACCCCTGAGAACTAACACAGTGAGGACATCTACTGAAGCTAGGCATAAATGTGTGTGCCCTCTGAAACTGAAATTCCACTCCTGAATATATGTCAAGATGAAAGAGAGCTTTAGGCCATCAAGAAATGGATACAAGAATAATCAAGGTTATTCCTGGTAGCCCCAAACCACAAGCAGATAAAAAGTGCACCAATATTGAGGCCACTGGAGGGAGACAGTCGGTTCATAAAGTGCTGGCCCTGCAAACAGAACAAGGTGGAGTAGTGCATGTCCCTCATCCCTATGATGGGATGGAGAGTCTAGAAAGGGAGCAGAAAAGGTGACCAGTACCTGCGGAACCAAACCCAAGGTTGTCCTCAGACTTCCATATACACACATGTGCGTGCACGTACACATGTACGCCCACTCATGCACACGTGTGAATAAATAGGCAGTGCACCAACAGTTGACTTGATTAGCAAGCCATCATACAGAACATTGAACAGTAGTCAAAAGAGAAGGAATACTGGTTTGTGCAGCTCCACAGGTGACTCTTGCAGATATAACATTAAATAAGACAAGGCCAAAACAACAGATACGGTACGACTCCATTTAAACAAGGTTCAGAACTAGACAGAAATTAATGGTGGCAGAAGTCTGAAAGTGGCTGTCTTACTTGGTGGCCGACAGGAGGCAATGAGTTTCAGGCTTGTATCTCAACACACGTGGCAGGGACACAGAGATACACAGAGCACTGAACTCAAGTACTTAAAATTTGAGCCTTTTCTGTATGGAAGATATAGATAGACAGACAGACAGACAGACAGACAGACAGATAGATAGATAGATAGATAGAGATAGAGATATGAAAGGTCTATAAATTTAAGTTAACAAACTATGGGTATACTTATTAGTACATAGAATAAATTGGAAAGCAAATGGAAAAAACAAATCTTAGAGAATTGCAAAACCTTGAACTGAAAAATCTATGGTTGCTCAACGAGCAAACAGTAGGGTAACAAAGTAGCTTTACTCTAAAATAACTTTTAAAAAATTATGTTAAGCTTTATTTTTATTATTTTTAATTATGTTTATGCGTGTCTGCCTAGGTATGTGTATATGAGTCCAGATGTCCTCAGAGGGCAGGGATATAAGGCTCTTGGAGCTGGAATTAAAAATAGTTTGAACTGCTTGTTGTGGTCTTTGGGGACCAAACGCGGGTCT